TATCCTGAGCTAAACTTCGCATTTCCCTAAAACTAGAACAGCCCACATCCTTAACTATTTGCGAACAGTAATCTAATCTGGGTCTACCTCTACCCCTCCTAACTCCTGTTTCTGTCTCTAATATGTCTCTGACTAGACCTTCATGTCTGAGAAGGTGTCCTACCAACCTATCTCGCCTATTTTTTATTGACTTCTATACAGTCCTCTGTTCTCCTATTTCTTCCAATACCCCTTCATTTCTAACCTTTTCTACCCACATTATCCTCATCATCCGCCTATAACCCCACATTTCGAAAGCTTCTAACCCTTTCTTTTCCGCCGCGCTCACTGTCTATGTTTCGCACCCGTACAACGCCGTGCTCCAAACATAGAAGAAGTGACTTCTTTTTATTAAAGCCGACTCGACCCTGCGCTATCCTCTGCTTTATATCCCTACTACTTCTTCCGTCCTGACTTATCTGACTTCCTAGATACCGAAAATGAGTCACTTCTTCTAATTTTTCGTCTCCTATCTTTATATTCACTCTTTCCCTACTTTTTCTTCCCTTGCGTACCGGTATTTTAGTTTTACTTTTATTTATTTTCATACAGTACTGATCTGTCACTACCGCTTCTGTTCCAATTTTAATATTATCAACGAATTTACATGCTTCTTATTAAAAAATGGAATTACTTAAAGCAAATTTCGGCAAAGATGACCTGAGCCTGGATTAAACTGTGAAGGAATGTAAAAGTTTAAATTAAAAATATACAAACACAGAACGCATAAACTTATAGGGCATAAAGTTTTAAATAATTATAATTGTACATAGGTTTATATATTAGTTACATAGTCGCAGCGCAAAGAAAACGGCGCCTTACGCAGGGACTCTTCATAGCACCCCAAATTTTAAGAATTTGAATTTGGGTTAATTGTTTAATTGTATAATACCAATATGTTTTATCCATTTAATACAAAACTAAATTTTTGAAAAATAATTTTTGTCGCAATTCATTTAGTATACTTAAGGTTTGAATATTTTTATTAAACAAGTGACAATGATAAAGATGATAAAAAAATTTCAACTACCGATAAACAATGTTAAATTAGCCATGCGAATAAAAATTAATTCAACCTTTCTCGTATCAAAAATTTGATTGCCGTAGATTAAGTAGACTTACGATTAGCCTTTTTTAGCAAGTTAAAAACGAAGTTTATCCTTTTACGTATTTAATTATCTACATTTCTGTCTACATTACGAAAAATAATTAATTACTACTACACGTTATCTGAAGGTATTAAAAATAATCAACGGATATGTTGCGGAATTCGAAGAATTAAGTAATTTCACTTTCAATTACTTATCGAGTAGTTAACGGTTAAAAATCAGAACGTCTTCTGTTGTGCAAAAAGAAGTAGGTTCATAGCTACTAACAATCGAGACCTGAATAAACAATGGAAGCCAAATTACCAATTGATTTTTTAGCAACACCCACTTATTTCACAAAAAATGGAGACATAAAAAAACCAGCAGTAGCTAAACAATATCCGCTTCCGCGTGCAACAAACAAACCAACCTGAACTAATAACCGAAAGTTAAAGAAACAATCGATACTTCAACACGTCTTCTTTCGCCTCCAATAAAGCATAACTACTCAAGAATCAAAATCTGAACAAATAAAAAAAAACTTCAAGAAATAATCAACAGCTAAGTTATGTCAACTTCTTCTTGCAACAAACAACCAAAACCTAAACTACAAAGCATTACTACTAATCAACCGAAATCTGAACAAACAATGGAAACCTAAAGAAACAATCTATAGGCTATGCAACGTCCACTCTCACATGCAACCAACAACCAAAACCTGAACTAACAACCGGAAATTTAAATATACAATCGATACCTCAACACACCCTCTTTCGCTTGCAACAAAGCTACACTACTCAACGATCGAAATCTCAATAAATAATAGAAACTTAATGAAACAAACAATAGCTAAGCAATATTCACTTCTTCTTGCAACAAACAACCATAATAACAAGGCATTACTATTCAATAACCGAAATCTAAACAAACAATGGAAACCCAAAGAAACAATCAACAGCTTAGACAACGTCCATTTCCACATGCAACAAACAACCAAAACCTCAATTAACAACTAATAGTTAAATAAACAATCGATACCTCAAAACGCACATTTTCGCTTGAAACAAAGCATCACTACTCAACAATCGAAATCTAAATAATAGAAACAATCAATGGTTAAGCAATGCGTACTTTCTTTTGCAACAAATAACCAAAACTTGAAGTAACAACCGAATAATCGATGCCTCAAGACACCCACTTTCACTTGTTGCAAAGAAAGTGCGCTGTAATTGGTTGACAATTATAATCTATAATAATAATTAAATGGAAAATATTTCTTAGAATTTCGATGTTTTTTACTACTTTTTATTAGAAGATTGAAGTTGTTCATAGTTTGTAAACAAATTAGCAACGTATGATCGTAAATTAAACTGCACCTTAAGAAAATAATCACAATAATTAACAAACAATGAGACAATGTACTAGCTAATAATTATGCGTATATCTCCAATGCAGTTATAACGTTTCCGGTTTTACACTACACATATTAATACTTGTAGTATAATATATTTGAATAATACATTTCTACATGCTTAACAAGTGATTTCATTTCACATGTTTATTACAGTCACGTTCTTTGCAATAAAATAGAATACAACCGTATTTTAATCACTGATAAATATTTACTGATTCTCAAATGTTAACTAATCCACTTTTTGAAAGTTAATTCAATCCTACAATCCTCTGCAGAAGCAGGATTCTCAATAACGTTCTCGTTAAAGCTTACAATTGAAATTAAAACATACCAATTAACTGGTTTGAATGCAGCACATTTTCACGCTTAAGTTTACTGCTTTATGCTAACAAATGTGGGTTTTGAGGGGAACGGTTCCGTACGAAGTAGTGTGCAGAATTACCTCGTACGGCCCAGTTCAATAATGTAAAGAATACTGCAACGCGCTCGACAAAAAACACATAAATAAGTATTTTTGACGTGACAACGTCTTATAATTCGATAGAGCCGGCTGCACGCACGAAAAAACATGACTCATGCGGCGTTACCTCGCTCTGAGGCGTTCCATTTAAGGCTTGAAGTGCAAGCGGGAGCGCGGAACGAGCGACAAAGAGGCACAATCGGCCTCCGCGTTCGGCAGCGTTCGACATCTGTCTCTCTCCTACTTGAGTGAGCGATGCGTCTGCGTGGACAGCTGCTATACAATAATACATTTCCATTTACTTCCTTCTCTATATCCATACAAAATATCTATCAAACAAATAAAATTAAAATTTTCTCTTGAAAAATGAAACCATTGAATCAGTATTTTTTTATGACGTTGTCACGTTCAACTATCTTCAGTAAACCGACTTTACAGACAACCGAATTTTATTGTGTATTTGCATTTTAAATGCAAGTACTTGAAATAAATCACATCTCTGTGTAGAAGTAAACTGTAGTTGGCAGTTCTGCAGTTCTGCAGCACCTATACATCATCCGCCTATGACTATAATTATTCTGTAAACCAAACAGATCCTTGAGTAGATGCCACCAAGTTGTTTTTTTCACATTTTGTTAAAAAATGCAGAATTGTTTACGTATACGGTCATTGAACATTAAAATTGTATAATTCAAAGGTATTGTTGACTACTTTTTGCATTTGTAAAACCGAATAGGTATTGTTTTCTTAGTCTGTAACAAGTTGTTTACTATACTTTCGGTTCACCTCGTTCTTGTAGATGTCGAAGGGAAAAATGGAAAAGGGGAGGCCCGGAAAACATCAAATTCACATAAGAGAGAAATAAACTTATTCTGAATTTGTCATCATATAAGTTTAGTAATAATTATAAATTGTTCTTTCAACGAATCCACTCTGAAATAAACTTCCGCACTATAAACGTGACGCTGCTGAAGTTTTATGTTGTTGAAGATGTAGAATAGCGGTCGGGGAACCGGGGTAAATTACCCCAAATGGGGTAAAAATGAAATTTTTAGGGGTAAAAATGAAACTTTTGTGAGTAAAAAGTATATATTTTTAATTTGCTATTTTATAAACCTGTTAGTATTTTTTTCAACTTAAACAATTTAGCGACACATGCAGGCCACGCCATCTCACTCCCCACCACTAAGTATTCAACATCAAACAAAATAATTCGAAGTGGTCTGTATTTATCAAACAACATCATTTCTGCAAAATAAAAAATATTTTTTATGGGGGCTATATATAAAATTTAAACTAGTTTTTTCGTCTAATAATACAAGAAAAATATCATATGAATTACAAAATAACAAGAAATTATCATTTACTTATATTTTCTTTGGGGCCGAATTTTTTTTTCCTCAACTGCATATTACATATATATTACTATTATTACCGTTATGTATTACTAGGTATTACATTGATAAATTGAATAAATGATGTCTAAATTAAATTTTTAGTTATTGTTTTCTTTTCAAAATTATCATGGGGGCTATAATATGAAAGATGCTAAAAAGAGGCGATTTCGTTTTTTTTTGCTCTTCGCCATGGGGTAATATCAACTTACACAAAAATATTTTGGGGTAATGATTAAAAAAATTCCCCGACCGCTGATGTAGAACATTTAAATTTATCTCCCAGATTCACAGCAGTACTTCTCAAGCTTTTAAAATCTTTTGTGCTACTTGAAACACGTCACTGTTAGTCAAGAACAATTTACGCGTATTTCTTTTTTAATTTTCTTGCCGATTTTCCTTTTCTATTCGCGACGATTTTAAATGATCATCAAATTACATTAACGTATGCGCGGCTTATCAGAATGTCAACATAAGGTCATCATCATCATCATAAGGTCGTCAGTCCTAAGACTGGTTGGACACGCACCTCCACTCTTTCATATGCTGAGGTAAACTTCGCATTTCCCTAAAACTATAGCATCCCACATCCTTAAGTATTTGCGAACAGTAATCTAATCTAGGTCTACCTCTACCCCTCTTAACTCCTGTTTATGCCTCTAATATGTCTGTGACTAGACCTTCATGCCTAAGAAGGTATCCTACCAATCTATCTCGCCTATTTCTTATTGATTTCCATAGAGTCCTCTATTCTCTTATTCATTCTAATACCTCCTCATTTCTAACGTTCTCTATCCACGGTATCCTCATCATTTGCTTGTAACACCACATTTCGAACGCTTCTAACCTTTTCTTTTTCGCCGCCCCCACTTTCCATGTTTCGCACCCGTACATAAGCTCAGATGATAAAAAACACTGTGAATTAAAGCGCTAAAGTCCCATTTCAAGTTTTGCTGAAATGTGAATGAAATGTTTAAATAGCATAATGAGAAGTTTTGGTTAACGAGATCTCATGGGTGCAATACATACTAGAAAAGTCTAGAGATAAATTGTAATCAATTTTGGAGCCAACTCTTCGTAGAATTACGTAAGCTTCGTTCATTAAGAAGATCGGTAGATCATTTAGGGATCTTTTTATAAGAAACTAACTCAAAGAAGTTTCACTTAAAATAAGCTATTAGTTTTCAACGAATAACGAATTAGTTTCGGTCGATAGAGAGCATTATCAATTTAAAAGTAATTGTCTTCTCCAGTGTGTTTTACTTTCTGTTTCACAAAAAATCTACTAGACAAGAATTAGATTACAGAAAACCATAAATCCTAAAATGGCTCGTAATTCTAAGTCTTAAGTTTATATGTGGAATTTTGGGTTTTACTGTTTTATTTACAGTTTAGTTCACAGAACATTTTTAACGTTTAATGTTTTTATAAATTAGACTATTTCGTTGTTTCAGCTTGGTTAACATGTCGTCAAGTTTTAAATATAATGGTAATATTGGGCTTTATGTTCAATTACATGCTAAGGGTAAATTTGGCGATGGCTATAACCGACATGATTCAGATCAACGAGACGTCGGTGGCCCGTAATTCGACCGATTCTGTAAAAGTTGAAGGTGTTAAGCGTTATCACTGGGACACTTATGCCAAAAATGATATTTTAGGCTACTTCTTCTGGGGCTACATTCTCACCGAAATCCCCGGCGGCCGTCTGGCCGAAATTATCGGGGCTCGTAGGGTTTTTGGCGGTGGCATGTTGGCAGCGAGTCTGTTGACAATACTCACGCCAGTTATCTGTGATCTTCCCATTCAGGCGATATTGTTTTCGCGCGTTTTGATGGGTTTCTTCTTGGGCGCCACGTGGCCCGCCATTCCGCCCATGGCGGCCAAATGGATACCGCCGTTAGAACGGTCAAAATTCATAGCCAACATGATGGCGTCGTCGCTCGGTGCAGCGCTAACTATGACCGTCAGCGGACTATTGACGGAAAGGTTTGGCTGGCCTAGCGTCTTCTACTGCACTGGGGTTGTAGGCATGATTTGGTCAATAAGTTGGTTCTTTTTAGTTTTTGACTCGCCAGCAGAACATCCTCGCATCACTGCGCAAGAACGTTGCGAAATTGAAACCGCAATTGCGGTCGCATCCGGTAACAGTGTGAAACCAACGCGTGTGCCCTGGCTGGCCATTCTCACTTCGGCACCAGTTTGGGCCATTATCATTGTCCACACCTGCTCCATTTTCGGCTACTTCACGGTGGTCAATCAGTTGCCCACTTACATGATGGAAGTACTCCATTTTGACGCCAAAAACAACGGATTCTTATCAAGCATTCCCTATCTAGGTAAGTCCTTTTATTTTTTGACGTGACAACGTCTTATAATTCGATGGAGCCGGCTGCACGCACGAAAAAACATGACTCATGCGGCGTTACCTCGCTCTGAGGCGTTCCATTTAAGGCTTGAAGTGCAAGCGAGAGCGCGGAACGAGCGACAAAGAGGCACAATAGGCCTCCGCGTTCGGCAGCGTTCGACATGTGTCTCTCTCCTACTTGAGTGAGCGATGCGTCCGCGTGGACACCTGCTATACAATAATACATTTCCATTTACCTCCTTCTCTATATCCATACAAAATATCTATCAAACAAATAAAATTAAAATTTTCTTTTGAAAAATGAAACCATTCCATCAGTATTTTCTTATGACGTTGTCACGTTCAACTATCGTCAGTAAACCGACTTTACAGACAACCGATTCTTTTTTTATTTCATCAACGGGCTTCTCGACTAGAATTTATAAGGGGCATGCCCCTTCTAGTGTGCGGGTCTCATGTGGCTAATGCCGATATAGGGATTTCCCCGTAGATTCCTCATGGAAATCCCTCCAAAAAAAGTGATGATACTAAAATGAGGATTGCCTTATGGGTTTTTCATATGGGTCTTAAGGGGCAAACCTAATACATGTATAAACTTACAATTAAATCTACCTTATGGGGGCTCAATGGTGCAAATCCGTTTGAAAATACGCTCGGTGAAATGAAAAAACTTATAAAAAATGGTAACAATTCCCTTGCCCAGCGGGGGCTACACACAGCATTCTTGATGCCGGAAAGCGTTATATGTCCCTTCCTTGCCCTAGGTGGCAACCTCATAGGGCCCACAAGAGGTAACGGGCAGGGGCGGCCTTAGCCATTGGAAGGTTCCGGGCGGGTAAATTTTTGCGAGGCTCTCGTTTTTGTGGAATTAATTTTAATGGTGATACTTAAAGAATGCAAAGTGATTCATAAATAAGTTTACAGCTTTTAAAATTGTTTATCGAAAATTAAAAAAAAAATGATAAGAGATAATGATAGCAAATTTGCGGCTTCTTTTAAGACTATTAAGAAATTCAAATAAACATTAGTTAGTATGTACTATTACTATCTAATATTTTTCTAATTAGATTGTTGCGCGAGTGCGCGAGGCCCCTTCAAAGGCGAGGCCCCGGGCGGTTGCCCTGTTCGTCACCCCCAAAGCCCGCCCCTGGTAACGGGCTACCCATTTAGGGAACCCTACCTGCGCCCCCCTCAAAATTCTAGTCGGGTAATTCGTACTTTAGCGTAGTAGAAATATTTTTGAAATAATCAAAAGAAACTTCGCGAAATATTTTTAGTTCTTTAGATCATCACGATCCCTAGAAAACCTCTTTGTGTATGTAGGCAGACAGACTTTCAAAATACATAAAACTACTCCACATGCACGCACGCTATCAAAATTAGTTAATCATAATCGTGTCATCATCATTATGGAAAAAACCTGGAATTATAGAACATTATTATCTTTCTTGCTTGACGTAGCAGCATCAATTAAGTTCATTTACTTGAGCTGTCTTTTTTTAATTTCACAAATTGATGTACGTACAAATATAAATCGCACTTTTGTTAATTGCGATTCAACTACATACTTATATGCTTACGTATTTATTTTGTTTACGTTTCTTGGTATTTATTTTTCTCATATAGATCAGCCAAATAATCGAGAAAAATATATAATAATATATATAAAAATAATAAAATATGTGTATTAGGGGAGACAGTAATGAAGTAATGATAATTTTTCGTGGGTCACTATTAAAGAAACATTAATGTTAAATAATAACCTTTCGATAAATAAAACAATAACGTTTTTTTTGACGGAAATTTTTAGAACTGATAGAACTTTTATTATTAATGCTACGTAAAAAATGTATCAATATAAATAAATTTCGAATTGTTTAATGAGCTACAAAGAAAGGTATGTAATAAAAGTAAAGCAGGTCGATAATATCGATAATAAATTGATTACTTTCATTGATAAAATAAATACTTAATGGAATATAGGTAAAAAAGTTCGATTGATAACTACAAATTAATAGCAATAGCGATAATGAATAAAACTCAAAATGATAACGAAGTTATTTTACAATATGAACTACGAATTTTACAAAAAATTTTAACCAATTCTATAAAAGGTTTTTGTAACACAATCACATAATAAATACGTAATATTGGCGACATTTTTTTAATGCCTTTTTAAATACGAAAAATAAAAAAGTTGTGGTTCATGTTTTTAATGAATAACCTTGATTATCGCGAAATATGCAATTACCCACATTTACGTATACAGAGTGTTACAGTTACAGCCTAAAAAATGTGTACCACTCAATTCTATCTAAAACTGAATACTTTGTGCAGCAAATACTACTGAATAATACCAAATTATCAAAATTCAATTTTGATTAAAAAATGCTACTATGTTTGGAAGACCCTGTATACTAATGTTAGTACCTAAATAAGTTAATAAACATAATCTTAAGGAAATTGTTTATTCTGTAAAACATTTGAAAGTTACTTAATCTGGAAAATTTTAAGATCATTTTAAAACGTCTAATTAAAATTATTTATTAACAAATAAAACGTAATATCCAGAATACACCAGGTCAAAATTATTCACTTGTAGTTCAAAGAAATTATTTCATCGAGATTAATGACGCGATAATATTTTTTTCAATTATTATACTAAATAAATTAGAACTTTGTATCGGGTCAAATAATTAGTACATATTTATTGTACTACGCAACATATAATCTCCAATAAAAACGTGTCCGACGTCTGTTTATCTTCCGTCTAGGTATCTGTTAAGGACGTAATCTACTGTTACCGAAGGCCATTATTAAAATATTTAAATAATTCCGTCGTTTATATTCATATTAATGGCATACTTAAATTTTTTTTTAAGGGCGACTATGCATCGACTTTTATGTACATGATGTTACGTTAATATTTTTAGTTACTATTCTTGCAACAGATTCAAAATTGATAATACCTATAATTATTTATGTTGATTTATTTTTTTGTACTCCTGACAATGTGTTTGCATAATTTCATGATAGGTTTTACCCACGACTTCACGTTGATGTCCAGAGAAAACTAATTTTTTATATCCCTCGGGAACAACATTCTTTTTCAGGATAAAAGGTACCCTATGTCCTTTTCTATACCCCTGACAATGTGTGTACAAAATTTCATAATGATCGGTTGAGTAATTAAGGCGTCAAATAGTAATAAACAAACAAACACATTTGTATTTATATTAGTTAGGATTCTTGGAACAGATTCAAAATTAATAATATAATTATTTATGTTAAAAAAAAATAATTTTCTTACAAATAGGTAATAAAAACAAAATTGACAAATGTTGTAAATAAGAAGATAATTTTTTTTAAATTAAAATGACCATGTCAATATCTTCTTTCTCATTCTTGAGAAACTTAATAATTTACTTATTATAGTTAATGATTGCTGTTGTTATACAGTGCCAAGAAATGGTCTTATTAATAATTGTGGTCGTCTCGCAACATTGACGCTATTGGTCACTTCGATAGCAACCCTGTTCTTTTTCAAACTTACATATTGGTCTCAACATGAACCAAGAACTATTATTACTGTAATATCGTTCTGTATCGCCTTTATTGAGAACAAAATCGTAAAAATGCTCAATGCAAGATGAGCTCGGGATTAGGAAGGAGCCAAGATGTGCGTTCAACCAGTCTCTAGTCTGACAACTCATATAATGATTATGAATGATGAGTTTTTAGACCAAAAAAAAAAGACCCATGGTCTAGAGATTCAAAAGTTGGTGCACACATTGTCAGGGATTCAAAAAAGAACATAGGTTACCTTTTATCAAACAAAAAACTACTGTTCCCGAGGGATAGAAAAATTAGCTTTATGTGGTCGTCAATGATCGTAAAAGATGCCGCGGGTGAAACCTATCATTAAATTTTGTACATACATTGTCAGGAGCACAGAAAAGAACGTAGGGTACCTTTTATCCAGAAAAAAATGCTGTTCCCGAGGGAAAGATAAATTAGTTTTATGTGGTCGTTGATGGACTGTTGACACGTATCTAGGATATTTTGAGAACATATTTTATTACATGGGGAAGCATTAAGGACGGATTTTGCGAAAATCGCATTCCAAAGGGTTGAAACAAAGCAAAACATTTCCTAAAAACCCAACTACAGTTCAATTCAATTCAATTCAATTTTTCATCAGCATGTAACTTATTGAGTTATAAGCAGTATTACACGTTTATCATATATAGTTTATTACACAATACTTAAATCAATTGTTACAAGTGGTTTTGAAAATTTTCCATTAATTATTCTACTTTGAAAACTGTATCATTTTCAATTTTGGACTAAATAACTTCATCCTGTAGGTATTATTTCAAGCAATATTACGCGACATCGGAGAAATTCCATTACGTCGACAGATCGATTCTAAAATTACACATTGGTTGGTTTTTTACAGGAAAATATGCCATGGCTGTAGCTGCAAGCTGGCTTGCAGACAGATTACGGCGTAGTGGTAAATTGTCGACGACTGCAACCAGGAAAATCTTTACGTTATTCGCCGTACTGATACCGGGTGGTCTCATGGTATTAGAAGCACTATGGGGTTACAACGCGCCCCTGAGTGTTACCATTTTTACCTGCCAACTTTTTTTCAATGGTGCAGTGACGGCCGGTTACTTGGCCAACGGTTTGGACATAGCACCCAATTTTTCCGGAACTATTTTTGGCCTAGCCAACACGTTCTCGTCAATGAGCGGCTTCATTTCTACGAAAATAGTCGCACTGCTGACCAAGAACAATCACACTTTCGACCAGTGGCGTTACATCTTTTGGCTGTTGGCTATTGTTTATTGTGTCGGAGCAGTGGCGTACCTGATCTTGGGTTCCGGTAATTTACAACCGTGGAATTCCGCGCAACAGAAACTCACAGGAAACGGAGAAAAAATGCAAGAGATGGAACCATTGAAAGGCAAGGAACCCGAAATTAAAGCATGAACAACTGAAGCTACTAATGTTATTATTATTAATTATGTTTTTCAAATTTGCATCGATCTCGTCTCATACATTTCAATCGTATTCGTATTATTTTATCAATCACCGAAAGCACATAAGCATACACACACATCATCATCATTTGTAGTACTATTGTTTTACAAATTTCTTATAGTGTTGACTGTAAATAAAACAGTATTGAAAACATGATTTTTTTTTAATCTACCCTTGTCTTTGAATCTTAAAAATATAAACTGCTTTGTAGCACATTTTTTCCTAAGTTGTCTCTGAGACTAAATTTGTATTAGTCGGTGTGAATACCCGTTTTTAGGACAGTTTTCTTGACCTAACAGTGTATTTGTTCATAAATTTTAAGATGTTGTTTCCTAAAGTTTTTTTGATCTGAGTAACTCGTCAAAAACAGCATAAACGTAGCTCTAATGAAAATGGTCAAGATGTTTTATAGTTCTAGTTAATTTTTACAATAAACACCAAAAAAATATCAAGATAACCATTTTAAATTAATTATTCCTAAATCAGAAATGTAAATATCAAAATAAATCACAGTGTCTCGCCATACAATGGTGAATAGTCAACCAAATCGTACAGCGCCTGCATGTGGTAAGTATTACAACTAAAAATATTCAATTTCACGTACATTTATACAAAATATTAAAAATTAGATTATCAAAGACAAAAGTAAACTGGACGAATCTCTAGTCAATGAATTTTTTTAAAAACTATCAATCTACGAAACTCATTATAATTCTTAAGTTTTTTTTACTACATTTTTAATAATATTAGTTTCTGTAGTTTTAAAAATTAGAAACTTTTCGAGCGACATAATATGCATACGAAAAATTTAAATTACTTCACTTGAACTCTCCTCAAGTTACATATAAGATATAAGTTAGACGGAAAATACATTTTATTTATCTTATAAAAGTTCCATTTTTCCATAGAAGATATGACACCCTAAAAGCCTAAAATATGGGCTTTTGGTCCAGTCTACGTACTGACTGTTTCGAAGGTTTCGATAATAAGAAATGTAAAGTTCTTGGATGCCACTGATTTATTAATAGTAAACTTCAATGTTAACGATAATAAATACGTGTGTACTAACGTGTAAAACATGTTTATGGTCTCATCGGGCCCTTGAAATATGAAATATGTGTATGGGAAGTTAACACAAAAAGCCAATAGAAAAGAGGAGGATAACACTTCGTTAGTAAAAAATATTTAATATATAGGAGAGGCAAAACGTTCATAGTCATGTTTTCATATCGCAAATATCTCCTACTTCTGTGAAAACTAAAGAAAGCGTAAAACCCTTTATATTGCTTTATTTTATTACTTTATTGGAGCAAAGCTTTCATAATATGACTCCATATGGCGAAATATTTGTGACGCTTGAACTTGGTCGTTTCTTGAACTATTTCTGAATTTCTTTATTCTAAAAGTATCTATGTGATAAAAAGAAGGTTGTGACTAGGGTTGCCAGGTGTCCCTATTTGTGCGGGACATCCCGATTTTTAGGGTCTGAAGACGCGTCACGATTTGCACCTGATCGGGACGCTAAATGTCCCGATAAATCAATAAATTTATTAAAAACCCATTATTATTGGAATAATGAAAAATTACGCATTACCTATTTTTAAATTTCTACAAGTCCAAAAAGTCTGACTATTATTATGTAGGATTAAATTATAACATAGACCTACATGCAATGTTAGTTGCGAAACGCAATAAAAAAAGTTTAATTAAAAAAACGTTGTTTTTTGTTTGTCCCGATTTACAAACCTAAATCTCGATTTGTTTTACCTTCTGTCCCGATTTAAAACAAATCGAACCTAGCAACACTAGTTGTGATGAAGTCGGAATTCAGATTTTTGATCAAATAAAAAAGTTATATTAAAGTTAATCTATGGGAAATCCCATGTTATACAAAAAGCGCGCGCTTTATACAAAAAAAATAGGAAATGAGTGAATATACAGATAGGAGACGAAAAATTAGAAGAAGTGGCTGTTTTTAGGTATCTAGGTAGTCACAATGGAAGATGCAGTAGGGATACAAAACAAGAAGATAGCAAAGGGTAGAGCCTTTGATAAAACGAAGTCACTCGCGAACGGTTAATTTAGAAATTCGAAAAAGATTGTTAAAGGTATACCTATGTTTGGAGCGCGGCGCTTTACGGGTGCGAAACATGGTTGGTTGGTTGGAGTGGCGGAAAAAAAAAAGGTTAGAAGCGTTCGAAATGTGGTGATACAGGCGAATGATAAGGATACCGTGGTATCGATAGAGAGGGGTAAAAATGAGGAGGCATTAGAAAGAGTAGAAGAATAGAGAGCGCTATGAAAATCTATAAGATATAGACGACATAGGTTGATAGGATACCTTCTCAGGCATGAAGGACTAGTCAGAAACATATTAAAAGCAGAAACAGATAGGTAGTTAAGGATGTGGGATGTTCTAGTTTTATTGAAATGCGAATATTTTCTCAGGATAAGAAAGTGGAGGTGCGTGTCCAACCAATTTTAAGACGGACGACCTTATGATGATAACTGAAGGTATTTGTTCGAAATTTCTTATACCATGTTACATGTAGTATTTTTGAAAATATGAAGCTACCCTTTGATGATTGTATGTAACAGACTATCCCTATGTTTGGACCTTAGCTCGCCACACGTGTATATGCATTAATAATGCTTATTACGGGTTTGCGAGGACAAAACAATATTTTAACCGTGACACACTTATAAAAAGTGTCTTGCATTTAATTATTATTTGGATACGTAAACAAATTAATATATCGATATACCTTAACGGACAATCGTCGGGTCATTTTGTTTAACAAAGCTTTTTTTAAAAAAAGAGACGATAATTTTCAGGAGAGATCATAGAGAGAAAATTAACCACAAAGTTTGAGTTTTGCAAAAAAGATATTAATATATATTAAAAAACTTTATCTCAAATCAGTTTGTTATCTCATCTATATATATATATCTAAATACCTAACTGCCTTTTTATATTTACGTATTTAAACACGGATAACATATAAATAAACGGGCAGATTATTATTAATTAAAATTGGTTTTAAACGCAATAACCATTTTCATGACGTCGAATTGCAATTAGTACTAATTTTAATTAAACTGCGACATACGTATTGCAGTTAAGATCATAGTTAATAGTCTGTCAACCTTTAAGGAGAATTATTACTACATGTGATATTTTCCACATTCCTAATTAAGCTGTATGTAATTAGGTACAGAGATATTTACGGGTTTTCACTAATTGTAAATAATTACTGAACTCAATTAGTTATAGATAAAATTACAGTACTCAGCCGCTCGTCAAAAAAAGTATTTTTTAAAGTTTTCTTTTAAAATTACTTTGATTAATTTTTTAATTAATTTTACCGAAAAATTCGGATATTATTTTTTCATTAGTTGAAAGCAATTTTCTGGAGACTGCTAGTAATTTGGTATTCGCGTTCAGAAGCCCCAATAGACTATCATACGTGAATATTATACAATTTCAACAATATTATTCGGTACAAGTCATATTTTATCAGTTTGTAACTACAACGTAGTCTGAGTCATGTAAGGTGCGAATCATTTTCTTTTCTAGGCCCAGAATCTACATTTTATGCATGAATTTTAAATTAATATCACATTTATTTTACTAGAAGCGTCCGATTAACGAATGATGTCATTACAATAGAGGTTTTTTTCGGCTCTTCTGGGTTTAAGATTTAGTCAGAACCAGACCTGGTAATCCTACAGGATATCCCGAATTAGCCTATTTATCAGTAATATTTGTTTAGAAGTCTGGCCCTTTCAGTAATAGAACGTTGTGTATTGTTCTAACTGCAAGGAAAATTTCTAATAATTATAATCAACACAGCAACAATTAAGTTATTTTCCAAGAGGTGACGACCCGTATTTTTACACCACAGTATCGTATGTTTAGGAGCTTCGGAAATTTTAAGTATCTAGGTACCTATTAAAGTAAATATGGTTTGAGAAGATTAACTATTACCGTTAAGAGTTTGTGATAAGTTTATCTCCTCGGAATTTCCGGTTTAATATGTACAGAAAAACAGTTTAATCAGGAGAAATAACCCGAATGTATGACAAAAAACAATTATTCTATAATTTATATGAGACACTCACTCAAACAAATATTGAATTGAAATATGTAGGTATGCGAAAGAAAAATACAAAGAAAGAAACTGTTTAACTCTTCATAAGAAATCGATTGTCTCCCAGAAATCAAATGTATTTAGCAAAAAAAGGACCGACAGACATACTATTGATCTTATAAGTAGTGTCCGACCGAAAGTTCGGTTTCGGTTTTCGATTCGGTCGAATTCCGGCAAAAAAACGAGTTTCGGTTTCGGCGGCAAACCTACCGAAACTACGACCGAAACCGAAACTGCGTTCGGAAGATCTCGCACTCTGCTCGGTCATGTTCGTCGCGTTAAATTCCATCCAAGCGAACAATAACAAAAGTAATTTTATGTTTAATATTATATAAAGAAAAAGCATGAATAATCTTCAAAAGAAAAATGAGTCTAGTCTACTATACTTACTCAAATAAACATCTCACCTATTTTAAGTATNTATTTTCTATATTTTTTTCAAAATTTTAGGTTCAGTAGTTTCGGAGATAGGGAGGGAATGGTCAATTTTCATCTAATTTTTTAAATAACTTTAAAATTACAAAAAATATATATTTGAGATCCTTACAACAAGCCCTTTCATTTGATATGTCACACGGTACAGTTTGCAAAACTTCTTTTTAATTTTCTATTGGTCCCCCAAAATGACTCCCATGTTCAAAACTATTTTCTATATTTTTTTCAAAATTTTAGGTTCAGTAGTTTCGGAGATAGGGAGGGAATGGTCAATTTTCATCTAATTTTTTAAATAACTTTAAAATTACAAAAAATATATATTTGAGATCCTTACAACAAGCCCTTTCATTTGATATGTCACACGGTACAGTTTGCAAAACTTCTTTTTAATTTTCTATTGGTCCCCCAAAATGACTCCCATGTTCAAAACTATTTTCTATATTTTTTTCAAAATTTTAGGTTCAGTAGTTTCGGAGATAGGGAGGGAATGGTCAATTTTCATCTAATTTTTTAAATAACTTTAAAATTACAAAAAATATATATTTGAAAGCCTTACAACAAGCCC